GGGGGGAGGGGGGGCCTTACTCATTGTGACGCAACCGTCAGAAATCTCGCACGAAAAATTAATCGAATGTCCAACGGAGGCTAAAATATTTGAATCACGATTCGAGATCGCGTGAACGCTGGTTAATTTTATATACGTAAGAATTAACGGGTCATTGACCTCTTGACAGGACTTTAACGAACTACGATTTCCCTTAAATCCGAAAACTAATTAATGAAATAATTGTGGGAACGACAATAAAGTATGCTCACTAATTAAATGACGTGTCGACAAATTTGTTCATGATTTTACATAATATACATATATACATTCCACTCGTCCAAAGTTCCGTCTGAAAACTTATCGCTCGAATGATTGCTCTCGAATGACATGGCAAAGCGTGTTGTGTAATTCCAGAAGAACCGAAGTCGTACGTTACTGCCTTGTAAATCACAGTGTATACCGGAGTCAATCGAGCGTGTCTCTAGTGTCACTGTACCATTTGCTTTTATTACGAGTATCATCAAGTCTAATTGGGGTTCACGGGGTCATTGATAAAAAGAAAATTTTTTTATACTCGATGCTAATGAAAAAAAAAAAATGGTTTTTTTTTCACTCCACAAACAATAAAAATGCCAAATCCAAATTAGCCAATGAAAACTTGGACTGATATTTTAATGAATTTGAATTACCATTTTATATCATCAATGCCTAATCTCATTATTCCTATCTTCGGATCAAAGACAAGAATCAGCATCGTACGTGGTATCTATATAACGTCGAAGCTGTTTCCCATGGGAAAGTTGACCGGAAAACGCCATCCCGAATGAATTCCATATTCCACACTTCATAAAGCACTCGTTCCACTTTCCAGCCATAATCCACGTTCCCCACTTTCATAACGACGCCATGCCCATAATGGTATCCCTATGGGAAAGTAGCGTCTGACATGCTCCAGGCTACTTAAACTCGGCTTCGTGACGATACCATGATTGGCAATGATTCCCAGTGGGAGGATCCCATGACAATTTTTCGATATCTTTAACCTTCGATCGGCTACGAAAAAGAAAAAAAGGTTCATTCATTCGCTCGTTCATTATCGGCACGCAGAAGCCGAACGATCCTTGACCTAGAATTCCAACGATATATCGGCGAAGGAGCATGAATCTCGTCAAAAATTTTTTTTATCTAATCCAAAAGAAAAATTCCTTGGAGCGACTCGGCAAAAAAATCGATTCGTATCGTTGAACATAAAAACTCCATTGTCGCTAATCGATAAAAAATCGCGATCGATCGATCTCATAATTGCCCTACGTCACGAACGCAATCCCAACTAGCAATAAATGATTTTTGAAAATTTATTTCTTTAAAACCATTTTTTGTTTCAGAAGACAATTAACCACGGAAAATGGCGTCTCCACTGTTCGTTGTTCTCGTAGCTCTCACGCTTGTCGCGACTGTTCGCGCGACTGAGGATTTTCGACACATTTCCTACAACGGTAAGTTTATTCACATTTGATCGATCGCGGAATTATGTATGGCTATGAAAAATTACGCGGACAATGAGTCGATCGTAATGGAAACTCGCAGTGTAACAGTCAGCCGTCGTACAAGAGGCCGATACGAGTCATAGAAACTACAGAGACGTAAATTGGTCTGAAGTAGGCATATCTTATCGGTAATTAATAGTCAATGATTCGTGGCGATGGTTTTAGGCCGGGGGAAGTTAGAAAATCGGAAATATAGTCTGTTCGAAACCGAAGCCGGTTCTGTCGCAACGTTGAAAACTACGGAAAACGGTACAAGGTGCAAGGGGTGGGAGGGGTAAGGGGCCAGGAATTATCACAGGCCTCTGGTACCCCGTAGTGATACGGCGCTCGTGTTCCAGTTAGCGCCATTCATAATTACCGTCTGGATCCTTACGGCGAATGGGACCTCGTAGCTCCGCGTCGCGACAACGCGTAATTGCGAACGGCCCATAATTATTTCGCGGTTGGTCGAGCAATTAACGCGGGTACTTACCATTGATTAGCCTAGTTGAAAATTATTTTTTTCTTATCCCGTTACGCGAGAAGCTCTCGTTTCTTAATCGTACGCGGCATTGAAAACGGCCTTTAGTTTTTGGTTATTCGAGGGAGATCGCATGAAGCCGCGTGTAAGCGTTTTGGTAATGGAGGGGGAATAAATTCAAAAAATTTTTTTCAACCCATGAATATTGTATTTGGAAGGTTTTTAGATACTTGAACAAAAATTTTTTGTTTGAAATTCAAAAAATGTACGTCCTTTCGTTAGAGCCGGTTTATGAGAGTCCTTTGAATAGAGGTCCTCCGCTTGAACGTGAAGAAGAACCTTAAGGCTGCCTTTCACTAGGAACTATTCTGTGGTCTGACGCGAGTGACAGACTCGCACAAGGACGTGCCGTAAATCTCGTCGCTGCGTTGTAAATCAAGTCACACGTTCGCCCCCTCCATGTTCGTCTGGCGTTTACGGTGAGATATTTTCAAAAAGTTTCTCACCGCGACTGCGTCCCACCGAAATTTATACCGGTCGCTCGATGTGGATCCGTCCAGGAATAATATGAGATCGTGATCCTCATTAACGACGTATTACAGCCATATGCAAATTTATTGGTATAGTGTATCGATAGCCTGATTTTTTTTGATCCATAAGATATCGATAGAGAATTTCTACATAATCAGACACGATTCCAAAATCGGGCAACCCCCACTTGGTGCATTAATAATGTATTACAAAAAAAAAAATTAGCCGTACTAGTTCGTTACGTTATGTTTTTGTTGTTGTCGATCAGAATCGATTGATCGAATCGAGTGGGATTATCTTCCCACGGTTCAACTTGAAGAAAAATGTATGGACCCTGGTCGCGTTTGATATTGACGTGATGACGAATACTTTCGTTTTTGAAAAAAAAGTTTATATATATTTTTTTCATATTGACTTGAAATTCTCATTGAGCACTGAGCCTCCAAAGAGTGGTTTTTCACGGTACAAGACAGTGTGTGTTTATATATATATATATTTACGCGTAGGATACGTGGGCGAATCCGGTCCCGTCTCGGCACGCGCCGCTCGCGCCTCATTGGTTGGCAGTGCGAGCGTTAACGTGAATTCCACTGGCCGTATTTTACATTTTATTTGGCCGTATTTACGAGCTGTCTTTGCCCTGTGTCGCAACGGCTACGATGTTTCGGTTATTCGTATGTATGTATATATCGTTACTCAAGAGAGCGGGGGTTCGGACGGTGGCTGTCCCCCTCTACCTGTAACTTTTGATACCTCTGGTAAATTTTGGTAGCCCGCACGCGACATTCCTACCACTTTCTTAATCAACAAGCGCTCGTCACATGAATCTCCGCATCACCCACACGCGTTTTCTTTTTTTTACCTTTTTTTTTCTTTTCGTAATGCTACTGATATTTGTACCATGGTATCTCTCTTTATTGTTATTTTTCGTAGTATTCGTTTATGGGTCAATTATTTTGTTTATCACGGTGTAATATTTAAAGACAATTTGATTGTTAATTTATGTTTAAATCTTGAATTCTTTCATTTACTTCTTTTGTTCTTTGTGGTATTATCGTGTCCGATGTTGTTACGATTAACAAGATTTTTTTTAACTAACGCATTAACTTTTTATTGTTGTTGTCGGCGCCCTCTCGTAACTGCGTCCATAATTTTTGTTATTTGGACGTATCTTTTTAATGGAACAGCGTCTGCCGGGTCTCCTACGCATGTTTGTGGGTACTGCGTAAGGCCGAGCGTGTACCTGAGCAGTGAATGCACGTGTATTGGTCATGCGGGGTCACGCGTGATCCATGAACATGGGAGCTACCACGATGCCTTGTTAACCTTTACTGCGTGGGTGTGTCGAGCGCTCATGGCTGCTGAATATTCTCTAAAAAGATCGTCGAACTCTTCTTCGTTTTCGCCTCGAATTGAAACGTGTCTCAATTCACAAAAACATCGACAACAACAACTGTTCCCTGAACACGAACAAAATTTCTTTGTGCCCCAACGTACAACCGTCGAACTGTGAGTACTTGACAACAAGAACAATAATTCTCAAAAGTTGTTGTTTCGTTCGTACAAAACTGGTGTACAACAACCTACGAGTTCCCATGGTGCATCAGCATCTTAACAATTAGTCGTACAAGCAGCGACAACTTGACAAGTTGTGTTCGAATGTTGCGAAACAACTTCGCAAATAACCAAGTGCACGTTGACTCCACGAAGGACACGCATATCGAGGGATAAGTCGTGAATTCCTTGTGCATGCCAATGAGAACAAAACTTTCGGTTCCCATATGTATATACCTATAACCCATCTTACTTTACGTGCACCATTGAATTTTGTATATTACGTCACGAGACAAGACTCGCGTACAAGGTCTATGTTAGGTACCAACCGTCGCACTGCACTGCATAAGGACATCGCGCAAACCCTAGCTGTACCTCAATGAGAGGAAGTTCGTGTCGAGCGTACCAAAAGCCTCTGTTCTCTCTTTTAAAATCGTCCCTTCTCTTTGATTTCTCTACTGCCGTTCTTGATTCTCGCGAATAATACACATCGAGCCAGTTGTTTTTCTTGCGATCGACTATGATTCTCGTTCGATGTATCTCGCGGTCGTGCAAAAACAAAAGTTGTACGCGGACTTTGTCCTTGTTTTTGCTCGGTTGTTCGTAACGAACAAAAGTACGCAAGAATTTTGTACGGGCGTGTAGCAACGACGCCTTAAACGTAAACGACCCAATGAAATGTACGTGCCAGAGGTAAATGTAGACTTTGCGTATAAAACGGACGTTTATTATAAACCCGGAGTAAGAATCTTTGAGCATTATTGACGTTACCCGCGCCAGATGCACTGGCAATATTCCGCTTGACAGTTTACAGCATCGTTTGCAATATGGCAACTGCAGAGCACCAAAGCGGTATCCAGCTAGCAGTGGTACCTATTCGCGGTACCAGTTCTTCCTCTCTTCTTGTTTTTGCTTATCTTTAGCTATACAGGGGGCCTTCCGATCGTTACACCCTTCCCCCCGTTCAGTGTCGGGTTCATCCCCACTTTCCCGCCCGGTACTCTGTCCTTGTTTTTTTTCCCCTTTATCTCACCTCCCGCCCTTCTAGCAACTTTCTCGGAAGGCAGGGGCTCTCATTCCGGTACCCCAACGTCAATTATCCGATCCAATTACCGCGTTGCCAGCTGAGGAATTTCGAGACCTTCCTGCATGCCGTTGTACGCTCCCAATCGTAATCCGACATTAATTTCGGTCCGAATAATATCTAATGCGTACTAACACAAGAACAAAAAATTTCTACAAAATTTTAATCTAGTATTTATTGAAAATTGTTACCACAGTCTCATCCCTCTTTCAATTGTAAACAATCCTATTCAATTTATACAATTGTTCGCGGTTCGGTACAACCGCATTCAGTATATCATCCAAACTAAATGAAACGCATCGTGAATTGATGCTCGTGGACGAATATAAATTATTTTTTTTCGTACAAAAAAAAATTGTCATCCAGTTTATCACAGTCACGGTAACCAAACATCGTCTGAAGATCATAAGACAATGGCGCGACTTTCGCCGAACGAATTTGGCTCCTATCTATCTATAGCGTGGTCGCTTTGTAACCGTACACAGTATTTTGGCGTAAAGGAGTCCGACGGGTACACCCTCGTACGTGCACAAGTGGCGACAACAGTGGTGCCATCTATAACCGACAAGACTCGCGTAACCCGCCGCGTAACAGGTCGTAGACCTCTCCTATGCGGTTCCTGCGACCGATCTGCACAATTACCGGACAATCTATACGCAATGGCCTCGCGTACTTATTCTTAGAAAATTGTGGTTGTTACAATTTTTTTTTTTTCGAATCTTAATCCGTCCCGATATGCTCATAGCTCGTATCGAAACGTCGCGTCATTCGGAATTCAAGTTCACGGAGGTGGATTTTCATAATCGCTTGTACGAAACCTTGAAATTCCTATACGTATATACACATTGTATGCGCATTGTTTCGGGTCGCAAATCAAAGCGTCTCTTTGTTACGGTCCTGAATTTAATGCGCCATAACACAGAAGGTAATGCATGTATACGCGCAGTTCGAATAGTTTTGTCGCATAGCAAACCTGCAAGCCATAAGCATTGCCAGCGCTTACGTTGGGCACCGAAGAGATTCCTTGCTCCGAGAAGCGTTATATCCCGGACCGTTAACTTAACCTGAACGCGCGTCACTGTTGTGTTCATTTATTTTACTTGCAATTGCCATTGCTCACGACCAAATTTGGCTAATCGAGCCGGTATCGTCCTTTTGTAGTGACCACGGCCCGGTACGGTTTTTAATGACGTGGCCGAAGGACGATAATTAATATCGTGCTTTATTTACATACAGGTTTTTATACGCGCGACAAATTTTTATTACGTAACAGGGTACCGCGCGATTACGATACGCGAAAGAAAATAAAGATATATTACC